TATAAGCAAGATACCACACCATAGAAAATATGCCTAATTTCACCCAAGATCCTGTTTTCAGAGAGGCCTCTTTTGAGAGTGCTGATCCAAGACCAGTTTGACTGCCTGTTTTTGCTGCTGGTGTTTTTCTCCCTGCTCCGCCATCCAGTGGACTCCCTGACAATCACAAGCAAATTGCTCTGTAGGAGAAAACTTCCCATAATAGATGATTTTCTGACGCCTCAATGCGACTGCCTCTACGGCTTTGACACTAACAGGCTTTAATGGGGGTGACGAGGTCCCTAAGAACAGGTGGCCACTCCAGCGACTTCATTAGGCCCGCCAGTGCTGATCTTGGATTAGCGCTGAGAGTCCAAAGAGGTTTTACAAACACAGGTTCTTGTCACTTGAAACACACAGGTGATGTTCATTGAGACGTAGAAAATAGTGATTTTTTGTTTTTTTTTGTTTTATTGAAGTATCTCAACAGACTAAGACACTTATAAAGTGTAGTAGAAATACCAGAGGTGAGGAGAGTTTACTGCAGTGTTGGCCAAGCTCTGGCCAATTCAGTCAGTTCTAAGGAAATGGATGTAGAGATGCAAATACTGAATAGTAATGAAATGTCTCATGAGTTAATCTGTAAATCAGCAGAATAGTAATGGCCCACAGTGTAATAGCCCCTCTGCTGTTCCCACAGCAACCCTCGAGGCGATTTTAATTTTGATTACAAGTCTCTGAAAAGGACACAGATGGGTTTGGAGGCTTCATAAATATGTAACCCCCACCCATAAAAATATACTAACTTAAGCGACTTGAACTGACTGAACTGGAACCAGACTGACTCCAGCCTTGCTACTGGCCTAACATACATTCCATAACTGTATGAAAATAGAAACATTAATTGGATACATCGCACATAAAAGCTCCTCTCTGAACATAGAAATACCAAGAAAAGAGTGTGGATAAGCATGTTAAGTGTGGTGGACAGAAAAGAGGGTCTGATTGTTCTACGAAGCAAAAAGACTGCAAAAAACGCCATAGAACAGCAAACAAAACCAAAGGGGTTTCAGATCACGCTGGCACTAACCGCTTGTTTGCCTCAACATTTGTGTGTGCTCACAAACATACGGTGTCGGCTTTTATTTGTTTGAGGAGGAAATGCAGGACTCCATCTAGAGCCATCAGCAAATAGCCTGTATCATCTGCTTCCAACTCTGCCCTGTGCACCACGTGAAAGTGAAGCGTCATAACATACAGGAGCTATTTTACAGCACCTTCAACCATTTCACATTGGGGAAATCAGGTAGCTCATGTACACAGTACCCACGTTTGCGTTTATGTTGGGATAACGGCCGTTATCATTCTTCAAAGCCAGTTTCTGCTGTTTACGGCAAAAAAACGAAATGTGCAGCAAGAGTAACGACAGGTTACAAGCTCTTTGAATAAATAGTTTGACATTTTGTTGGAGAGATCCGTGTTCTTGGGGAGAGTTGGAGTAGAAAAGCTATGTAATATTTCTGTGGCAAAGGTCAAGCTACATAAACTTGATCTCATTCTCGCGGCGTGTAAAAGTGACATTTGTCAAAGCGCCTGCTGCCTCTTAGGGACTCTGATCCCGGGGGGGTCGGGTGGGATCTTGCTTGTGACAAACGCACTCACAGTCCGCTTTATTAGGTACACCTTTCTGACAAAGGGTTAGACCTCCTTTTGTCTTGAAACTGCCCGGATACTTTGCTGTACAGATTAAACAAGGAGTTTGAAACATTCCTGAGATTTTGGCCCAGTAGGCTTAACATACTTGGTGGAAATCTGACAATGAATTCATTCCCATGTTCAAGAGTTCAGTTTGGGATGCTTTGTGTCAAAATGGATGACAGTAGATTGTTGAGGGATGGAAATGCGTATAAAACACTGGTAGGTTTAGTGTTACTCAACTTGTACCAAGGGGTCAGTACACCATAACACCTCTATCTGCAATTCTAATGTAAGAAGGCACGATGGATCCATGCTTTTATCCGTCTGAAATTATAGGTTGTCGAACAAAATGTCTTTCGACTCTGACCATTTTCTTAGAGCCTGTGGGTTGTCTTGGTTATATTAGTTGACAGAAGCAGTTTAGAGGGATTTTCTGCTGCTGCAGCCCGTCTGCTCAAGTGTGGACATGTTTTGCAGTGATGCTATTATGCATACGCTGGTTGTACCAATAAAGGTATTTCCATTTGAACATGCTTTCAGTACCCAACATAGTGGACTTTCAGCAAATGCTGAAAATGGAATGAAGGCCATTTCATTTTCCTGATTTATGGCTTCGTCTCAGTATAGGTACTTCTGGCTCACCGGTTTGGTTTACAATGCCTAGCAGGATACTGTATTGTCTAAATGACCAGATCTTCTGTTCCAGTTTCTGTTTTCAGTACTAGAAATGACATTTGGTCATGAATTCCTTAAAAAAATGCATTGGTTGCAGACTGTACATTTTCTCTGTGTTGTTTCGGGCTGAGGATTTCAGGTGGGAAAACTAAAAGACCTACAGTGAAATGCAAATCAGCATATGGTCCTGTCAGAAATAATTTAATGCAAGACTGTATTTGTCATCTTAATCTGACATGTTTTAAATAAAATTTAACTCCTCCAGATAATTATCCACTTTCAGCTCCCTCAGCTAGAAGGGTTTGGCTTAAAAGAGAGAGATTTTAGCCATGTTAAGGACCTGCTTTCATGAAAAAATATTAAGCTTTACCTTATCTCAGCTAAAAGAAAAAAAAACTTCAGTTGATTGTTTTAACTAGATGAAAGCATATTTATCTCTGGATTTCTTCTTGTTTTTGTCAGTTAAATGTTTCGGATGAGGAAATGAATGGCATCAGAGATAAGTTGATCAAATACAAATGGTAGTGTTTTGATGAAAATGTCATTTCTTGTTAGGAAAAAAGGCTAGAATGGCTTCAGCAGAACTTTAACCCACTTTTCATTGTAGAATTATTAAAATTTGGTTACACAAGTGTTTTCCCACACATAGCATGCTTAAAGCCATGCACCATTATCTAAATTAGATTTGAGTGTGAACTTTTACTTGGGTATTTTACCTTTTTGATTTTATTGTTGAACTGTTGAGGTGGAATTTTGGTTGTGCTTCAGATCCATGTGCTTTTGCCCAACCTTAGTGTGCTTAAAGGGTAACTTCACACCAAATTAGCTTTTTGTTGTTTTTTTAGATAAAATGTTTAAATTAGGCCTAAAAGGTACTTTCTCTGTTACTGTAGAAATCTTGGCCTTTTTTATGCAAAATTGTTTTGAATTCTCCAATATTTGGTCTAAAAGTTATAGTTCTATGAGTGGAAATATTACTACTATAGTGGAATTATAGGTTTGAACTGTACACGTCCTATTTTAGCTTCACTTTTAGAAATGCTGGTGTTTTTAATTTATTTCAGAAGTTTACACTGAGCCGTTAGACTGCTACTGTCTCCAGCATTTGTTTTCTGCTCGTCAACGCTGTGTTACCATCTAACGCAGACGTTGGCGTGAGCGCAGAGAGCTTTGATCAACAGCATTTTTTGTTCTCTAATTTTCCCTCAACCTGACCGCACCCCTACGCCTGGCCATGTCTTTTGGCGCTGTCCACTTTGTTGGTATTGGGTGTAGGTACATTTAAAGTCATGAACTGATGTGCATTCTCTCTCAAGGGGTTGTATAGAGGAACAAAGTTAATGGTTTCATTCTTGTCAGGAGGTGCTACAGCCTTTTATTCTTCTAGGGTCAGGAACAGTTCTGGCCGTAGAGCTCACTTATTGATTACATTGTTCCCAGTTTCTTTCTTTCTTCTTGGACCAGAAGCTTAATTTGAATCAAGTAAAGCCTGCAAAGGTTTCGTTGCTCTGACTTCTTTAAGCCCCTGCATGAGTCATTTTCATGGCTTTGAAACCCTTTCGGATTGATAAATGTCAATGACTCTCTGTTCTTTAAGACCTTTAAGTCAGGCTATTATGTATGGGATTTTTTTAAATCAATGCGTCTACTTGTTATCAAAACCATTTAATCTGGCAGAGTGGATAGTGATTTAGACAACACAAAAACAGGCTAATTCATGTGGACTTAAAAACGGGCAAGGATATTTTCTCATACAGCCTTGTATTTGGTCAGGTAATCATTCTGTGATTTACAATATTGCAAAAATGAAGAAATCTGTAAGGCGGTAGATTATTTTCTAGGCACTGTTTAAGCTCTAAAGTAAATCAAAATAGAGTTTAAAAAGTTTTTAATGTAATGTACAGCTCACCTCATTTGGCTAATAAATGTATAACAATAAGACCTTACAGCCATTATGTATGCTAACTTAGTTAACCTTTAGCTGATTTACTAATTTTGCAAAAAAGCTATCTGGTGGTGGCTAGGCTCTGTTCAACCAGGGCTGCAACTAATGATAATTTTTTTGGTTAATCGGATAGACAAAGTTTCCTTAAAGAAGACTTTTTACAAAATTAAACCAGGTGAAACTAAAACTATTCCACTTGAGGTGTTCTGAAAAGATCATACTGACAGGCGCAAGATTTCTTTTTACACTTTTGGTAGAATTACTGCTCTAAGTTGGTTGCTCTCTCAGCTAAAAGCATGTTTTAGAATCTCTATATTCCCAGTCCAAACAAATAGCTTTACCATCATCCAAACATTAAAGTTAAACCATCACACAGAAAACAGACCAGTACCATAGATACTTAAGTCACTTTAAATAGGCAATCAATTACAAGAAACAAAGATATTAAATCAATACTAATAATAAATGACCTGATTGTCTCCTGTAGTTTAAATGTTTTCCGTTTCTATTAATGTGATATGACTTCATTGGGTGCATACTTATGCAAGCTATGGATTTTAGTTTGAGAAGGGAAAAAATGCCGTAATATACATTTAGTCAAATGAAAAATAACTAAATCTCTCAAAATGTCAAACTGTTCATTTACAAAGAGACTGAGAATTCCTAAGATGACAGAAAAAAGAAATTCTAACGGGAGTAAAAACTAATCCTATTTGTGTTCTTAAACATAGATAATATTCCCAGAGCTGGGGTTTAGTTGTTATACTTTTATCTAAGAATATAACCCAGCATATATTTAAAAAAAACTAACTCTTCTTGGCATCAGTTGTAAACTGCATCCTGTGGTTATAAAGCATTAGAAACAACTGCCTGTTGAGCTGATACTGCAGCTCCAACTTATATTGAACTATTAAGAATATATGTGTAGCTGCATTTTTGTGAAAGCACAACCAAGGATGGAGATATTGTAACAATAAAAAAAAAAAAAGATTCCCAGTATAGAACCAAAACTAAGCTGCTACAAAATGAAAGCATTACATATATGTCCAAACATGTCCATTTGTGAAAAACTGTGATCCGGATTGGTTTCGTCCGACAGCTCAGCATGCGGCCTTGTGACCAGTGATGTAATGGAGGAAACTCTGAAGTCGCACCCTTTCCAGAGAAGGCACTATGGGTGCTCGCTATCTCGATGTCCAAGATTCAGCTTTGCAACCCTGTCCCCGAACTTTTCCGTCATAAAATTGGCCTTTCAGGTTAATCCTGATAGTTTAGTCTTCAGTATGGGAGAAGTCATATGCCAACTCTTAAAGTCCTACCGTTTAAAAAGCATTTCAGTAAAAATCCCCATAGACCAGTTCTTGACAATTTTCTGAACTTCCCTCAGTTAAGACTTTATATCTCCAGTCTTGGTGAAAAACAAGGAGATGTGTTCTGGCAGGGTCCAAAGATCACCACCCAATTAGACTAAAGATAGAGGTAGCTGACCCAGTAGACTATGTTAAAAAGCAAAAAGGAGGTGGGGAAAAACACCCGGGAATAGGAATCCAGCTCCTGGATGTTGAGGTGAATCCGTCCTTTCCTCCAACCACCTTCTTTACACTCTTCAAAGCAGCAGAAGAAGCTCTTGCAGTCTTTGCCATCCAGGCACTCGTACAGGCAGTTGTCTTCATAGTCATGCCAGAACAAAGAGTTACCCATTGGCATCATGGACCGAGGTGCACGACCCATGTTGAAAGATGAATAGGCCTGCAAAACAGGATGGACAAAGTCAATTGTAAGAGTCAACTTTCTGGATACTTAAATAAAAAAATACAAATTAAACTACATTTTTGAATTAGAACAACTCCTCCATCTCCTTGGAGGAGTATTTGGACTTGTCAGTGTGGTTGTTCCTGCATTACAAAATGCTCTGCCCCTTAAATACCTAAAGTCATAAACCAAAATTCTTCTGAATGACGGCGCGCACTGATACGAACAGAGAGAAAATAGGACCAAGTGATAACGATGTGTGACTTTTTCCACTACAATGTTTTTGGGATGCAAAAATATCACTCTTTTGAACACATAATGTTTTGGGAAGAGAAACGTTTTATTTCGCTGGCTCTAGCAAACCTGCCAGACTACTTTCGGCTTGACCAAAACTGGACGAGAACTCTGCTCACAGGACGCTGCCAGGGGTAAGTCAGTGTGATTGCATGACACTGGTGATGGGGATGCCATACAGATTCATGTCAAAAATACCGAACTATCCCTTTAATAGCTTCAGTTAGTGGGTTGGATTCGATAATACAGAATGTTAAGTAGCCCCTTTGTAAATGGAAATTCTTGATATTGAATTTAATCATAATTTAATCTCAGCCATTAAGGAAAGACTTTTTAAAGTTTTCAGGAAACTAGGGGCTTCGGGGGAGGAAAGGAAAATTGTAAAACATTTTAAAATTTTTGTCTTGATACTTTTTTTTTTCCCAAATAAAACAATTGCAAGAGCATCTTTCAGTGCAGATGGAAAGAAAAGGCGCTGTTAGTGAAAAATATGCTCTGCAGTGCTGGAAATAAATTTAATGTGTAACACAATGTTCAAATTGTAAAAAGAAAATAATTTAATTAACATTATCAATAGTGTTGTAACAAATTGCTTTAGAAAAACTCTTATTCCACCTGCATTGAAATAAATTGAAATGTAAAGACCTCTTTCACTTTTTAGTTATTTCACTAAGAGGGGAAACTCATGCATATACTTTTTATATTAAGGTTACATTTTAACAATTAACTTCTGGTGATTTTGATGATTATAGCAAGACTTTTGAAAACCTAAAATGTAAGTTCCAACAGAAAGGAGGATAAGCTACAGAAGGTAACTGGTAAATAGTGCTGTATCCAAGCAGAGTAACTGAAGGTTGGCTGAATGGTGAAAGGGAAGCACAGGGTTAACTGTAGCCTTCAGAGGAATGGAAAGCAAAGCCCATTCAAAGGGGGCAGAGGTGGACAATCCAGATCCAGAAAGTAAAAACCCTGCCTTGCTTTCTTTTATCCTGCTGACTTAGCCCCTTAGGGGATAAGTTTGGAGCTGGAAATGTAAATGGTTAGAACTGATCTCTGTACAAGCTTTTTAATTTCTGGACCTGGATTAATCACAAGATTTGGACTGAAGCATGAGTAGGTGCTTTAAGAGTCATCACACACATTTCCCTCAAGCTAAGGCCAGAACAAGACGGGGGCCACTGCTCAGTGACCCAAATCTTCCTTTCTGATGAAGCGTTAGCAATTCATCTGGAGAACATTTTTTGTGTGATTCACAAGTCCACGGTAAACAGTTATGTAACAAGAAATCATACTGCCTTGATGCTTCCATCTCTTGACAAGTTTTATTGGGATATTCAGCATTTGCTACTTCCCAAATGACCGGTTTTACTACTAATGGTATTAGTGGTCCTGATAAAAGTTTCCATATAAGAGGCCATAAATGTGGAATGCATGTGGAATTAATCTTTTATAGCACGTGCATTAGCCATGGAGGACTAGATCCAAACATAACTTTTTATGTACCGTTGTTTTGCTAAACAAAATAAATGCACGTTGCAAAGAGATGCATATTCCCTCAATGCCTCTTTGCAAGCTCAAATATTCAACTTTTTTAATGAAGATGCCACCATATTTAAGTTGACTTAGTTCTTAGATTTGGTTCTACTATTTCTGACAGTCCAAATATCTTTACTAGCGCCCAGAATCTCTCACCATCCTCTGCAACAATAAAACAATGACTGCAGGTACATCTGTACAACTTTCAGAATTACTTAAAAAAAAAGCAAAGTCTATGGCCGCAGTTTAGATACCGGCTTGGAAAACTTCTTTACACTGAGAAGTTTCCCGGCTCTGTCTCTAGAGTATGATCTGCTCTGCCCATACAAATAGGTTTGCACATGTTTTAAGACATGCAAACCTTTGGAAGATTAGTCCCTACTTTTTTTAAACTCAAAACTTCTGCAGTGGTGATCCAATGAACAGAAGATTTAATGGCTGCTCTGGTTGTGTTATGCTACGTTAAGACTCGGAGCGGAGCAAGCTTAATTTGACAGTATAAAAACTCACCAATGGCATCCAGTACAAGTGCAGTTTCAGCATAAACATTTTCTATTCGTTGAGTGACTTTATAAAAATGAGGGCTGATATCCTACAAAATTTGTTTGTTGCAAAATCTGCATCTCTTCGTCCATGCTTGTCATAGTAAGATGCGGTCTTGGAAGTTCACCAAAATGTTAAGATTTCCGGCATATATAATATTTTGAAATAACAATAGTTTTCATCAATGATAAAATAAAAATTCCTTTTTAGGAACATATGAAAATTATGTTTTAATTTGTCATTACAGATCTGTTGATACCCTATTTTAGTTTGACAAATCAGCCCTTCTCCGTATTTTGACCGCGATGTTCGAGGTCAGAGTGGTCATGGAGGATGTGGAGTCTCAGGGTTGGAGCTGTACTTTCTAAAAATCTGCTTCATTAAAGGTATGGTGGAGATATTCCGCAAACTTTTGAAAAGAACCTCTCTCTACTTAAAAGAAAAAAAAAATACAGAGGCGCAACCCTGTACCCGCCTCCCGAGAGGGAACGTCTATTAAATGCATGCGAGAGCGTGCACAAGCCCATTTCTCTTCATGCATGCCCTGTTTAAAAGTTGCTGTTTGCACCGCCCATAAAAGCTTACTTTCAAAAAGAAGATTGGCTATTTTTCCTCTGTCAGACTCATCACAGGTAAGTAAAAATGTGGATGAGCACATAGGACTGCCATATGTAAACACATTACCGGAATGATTGATAATTAGGAGAACCGCTTGTTTTTATGATCAACCCAGAAGAAGAACATCCTCCACTATACCTTTAAATGATTTTTTGTTTCTAACTTATAAGGCTAAAATAGATTTTTTCCCTCCATTGTAGTAAGACGGACACACATGGTAGAATTGATTGATAGGGCACTGGGAAGGAGCTATAAATATTCCTGATTGGGGAATGAGGTGGGGTGTCCAAAACCCAGAAAAGGGGGACTGAATAAAACACAGCTTAATTTTTTGGCCCTGAAACACAGAACTCCTCCACACAAGTGTGGAATAATGAATAAGGAGCGGAAAGGGAGAGAGATGACAGCAATGGCGGCTAAGTCGGTTGGAGTGCCTGTGTGCTGCTGACATTAAGGCACTCGCAGCAGGTACAGCCTTGGAGAACGCCCACGCGCAGCATCAGGGGCGACGACTGGAAAGGAAATGCTTTTCAACTGAGCAGGTGTTCATAAAGATGTCAGATTCCTGGGAAGTGTGCTGGATGTACAGACAGCAGATCATATGGATTGAATCGATATGTTTCTGCCAGTTAGTGAGCAATCAGAAGGGTTGTTTTTCTTTTTTTGGCAGCTTTAAGCATCTTCAAAAACAACGAGTTACAAAAACAATCCAGACAGATAACACGCTGTTCAAATACAAACAGTAGGCCATATGGGAGAGAATGATGGGTACAGTTCACACCATTCACTAACAATAAAAAAACCAGTAATCTTTAAAAGCTGACCTCACCTTTAATTACTGGGATCATTCCTATGAACTGAATACCAGAATAAGAGCATTTTTAACATGTTCTGAAACGTCATTTTCAAAGTACACAAACTAAGAATATATGGAAGACCAGCAGTCACTGAAAATTAAAAACAGCCATTTCAAATTTAACATTCCAGTCATACTATTAGTAATCCAATTTGAGAAGCGTTTTCCATTTGTATATTTGAATATCTATTTACAAATTCCATTTCTAAATGGAGTTTTAAAATGTGTGATTAATATATGTTAATATTTTCACATTTATGAATTGTGTTTTTTTTAAAGTCTATTCAATATCCATTATATTTTTTGTTTTACTTTTTTCTCTGTGTTCTTTCTGGTTCAAGAGCACTCTGAAAGCCAGTTGCTGCTCAGACATCTTCCTCTAAGCAGCAAAACTGATGTGTTTGGGAACCAAGTTTAGCAATCTAAACAAGGAGTAGTGGTACATCCAAGAAACAACAAGATCAAATGTGAGTGATGTAACCGGAACTACTACCCTACTCTGAAGCCACCCCTCTCCGATGTTTCCCATTAAACTTCTGCGAAAGGCCTAGCGTGAGTGCTTCTCAGTTTATCGCTACTCCAAGTAGCAACCAAATCCCTCCCAAGAGGTCTGAGCTTGCTGGACCGAGTCAGACTAACCGTCCTAGGAGCTGACTGTTGTGACCATATTTTCCTGCGATTCAAACCGGGTTGAACACAGTGTTTCATGAACCCACCTGCTGCAGCAGAGGTGAGCACCACCTCTGGTCGACCTAAATCTAACTGTCAAAGGAACACAGCTGGGCCTAATTGCTGTTTGCAGAGGAGCCATTAGAGACTGCTGACTTATGCAATATTGGTTAAGCCTGACTTGGAGCTGCCGCCACCAGCTAACTACTGTAGCTAAAGGTAGACATCCCGAGCAATGGCGTAAATATTGGTAAGCAGAGACTGCAGTTTCTTAGGGGCCCCCCGACCTCTTAGGGGTCCCGTCACTGACACATGGTAGGCCCCCTACGCTATTGTGGACTAGGATGTCTCTTTGCAGATGTAATGGAGCGAAAAATTCCTCTTAAACCCACCTGATGCCAGAATAACTGACCAGATCCTATTAATACCCCAACACATGCCAGATTTGGTGAGCCATTTAAACACGACACCAATAGTAAAGCAGATAGTGGTACTTTTAATTACTATGTTAATAACTGTGTATAGTTAATTAGACGGTTGGTAAAAATGTAACATGTTTCAAACTGCAATAAAGATCTTAAAAGAACGATGTATTTGAGCATTTAATTTTTTACACTACGACTTGAAATTATGGGTAATCCAGAGTATAGATTAAAACCATAACCGTTACGTACAATGTGTAAGCGACGATGGATACCCAAAAGAGGTACCAAAGCAGATTCCAGAAAAGAAAAAGGAAGAGCTGCTGGAAGAATGGGAAAAATTCTTCCCAAAATAAACACGTTCTTTCAAAGAACCGAAGAGGGAGAGGTTGGATGTTGCTGCTACAGAGAATGAAGATTACGACAAGGAGATGAATGGAGAGAGTGTGGATGAGGAGGGGGGCTGTGAAACTCAAGGTAGCCCGATAAGACTCATTTTACAGCAGAAAAAACTGAAGTATATCCATGTCTAGTGAAGGGGAAGAATGATGCAGTGTGTAGGTATGCGGCACGTTTCGGGTCGGTTGTCTACGCGGCTGCGGCGAGGGAGGGAGAGTGCTGGGGGGGACATTGATCCCAGGCTACTGTGAGTTGTAAAATTAACCCCTGCAAAGTTGCCTCTTGTTATTGCATAGGATTAATTCAAATCTCTTTGAGAGCTGCTGTTGGATGAACGGACTGGACCGAAGAAGGGTTGGTCCAGCTGACCAAACTGGGGCAGAAAGTCCCTGCCTCCCCACTGAGCCAAATCAACATCCATCCTTCTCTTCTTACATCTGATGCTTAAGTGCTTTGCTTGGGTGAGCTAGGTAGAATAGATAGTTGTGTTTCAGTTTTATTTGAAATAAGCTTTCTGATTCCAAACTGTACTGTTTTAATCCTATCACCATACCACTGTTAAAAAACTCCTCAGTGAGGAAAAGACAGAAGACCCCACAGCAGCTATGCACATGAGGACAGCGTCCGCTCTGCTCAGACTCCGGGCCGAGTTTGCTACACAGGGCTAATATCAGACCGAGCACCACCTGTCAGTGCTTGGGTAAAAAGAGGAGCTCAAGGGAGCAATTGCTGCTGAGGACAGAAACTTAAGGAAAATTGCTTTCATTTGTAGTCTCCATTAACAAACAAAAAATATTCTTAACTGGTCTGAAAACTCGCTCGATGAAGTGACAGAGCAAAAGGTTTTCCTTTGCTTTCCAACGACGACATAAATTTAGGTTTTCATCTTGCACCTGTCTATGTATACCTTTAATTGCAATCAAATTAAATATCAAACTGTGGGAGATTTTATTTAAAGGAAAATTCCGGTTTTTAACACTTTTAGCCCATTTTCTGTAGTGTCCAGGATGCATTCGAATGATCGACACCAAAATTTTGACAATTGGTCCTGTCTCTGCTATTTGGCTCATGCAGAATCCCCCCCTGGCTGCTTCAGAATGGCTTCCATAGTGCATGTCCGATAATGTCCTTAAAACAACCTTAAACGTTCTTTTTTTTAAAATATGCTACTCACCGGGTCGTCAGCGCTGTTCAATGACGTTCTAAAAAAAAGTTTCGTGAAGAAAAACCGTTCCTGTCTTGTTTTATTTAGCATTTTGTAAATCCCAGAACTATTTTTTCCGATACATCACAACCGCTTATAAACTTCCGCTTCCCGTTCGAATCTGAAGCGTTGCACACTCCAGACCACTAGTTGGCGACAATGTCTCTATATACTCCTCCTCAGTATATTCCGGTTCAAAACGGTATCCTCTACCGTCAAACTCAAAGTCCAATATGTCCTCCTCAAGAATCCACCTTTCGTATTCCATTTTCAGAGTTTTTTAAAGTGTTTAACAGAGACGTTAGCACCTCGACGTCGGAGTACACAGAGTGAAGCGAAAAGACTACAACTAAACGTAAACAGGCCCCATTTCCGTTTCCGGAGGCGGAGGGATATTGACTATTCCAACAGAACTCAATGGGATTTACAAAATGCTAAATAAAACACTACAGGAACGTTTTTTCTTTACGAAACTTTTTTTGGAACGTCATTGAACAGCGCTAACGACCCGGTGAGTAGCATATTTAAAAAAAAAAGAACGTTTAAGGTTGTTTTAAGGACATTATCAGACATGCACTATGGAAGCCATTCTGAAGCAGCCAGGGGGGGATTCTGCATGAGCCAAATAGCAGAGACAGGACCAATTGTCAAAATTTTGGTGTCGATCATTCGATTTCATCCTGGACACTACAGAAAATGGGCTAAAAGTGTTAAAAACCGGAATTTTCCTTTAACAGTATGAAAATATTCAGCTGTAACTACATGTTAAGGAAGCAGTTTCTTTTCTTTTTCTGGCAGGATGGATACAGACCATGGATGATCATTCAGATGTCTTCGAGTCATCATCGCCCCTTGAAGTTGCCATGGCAGCCAGAAAGTGATGTTTTGAGATATTTCATTAAAGTCCACACTGTTTGTCATGATAATTATCTTCATTAAAATTCCAGTGACTTCCCAATCCCCCCACGCAGGCATACAATATAGTTATGGGTTATATCTGCACTTCAGAATTGCTGTGATTTTATTTTTTGATAATGTTTCATATGTTTTTGATTTAGTTTTCCCATATCTGTTGTCCTATCTTTGAGCTGCTTAGTGTCTTTCAGAGGGCATCTAGTTTCCCTTTGAGGTCTAGTGATTCACATGCCTACACTAGGCAGGTGTCACATCATTGAGGGTAGTTCAGCTATGTTACTATTTGGAAACATTACAGAAACCCCTTAAATGAAAGGCACTGATTCATGCTTCAAAAGCCATTTCTACTGTGCACAAAGAGCTCTGCTTTTAGCAAATATTATAAACAACTCCAGGGAAAGCAGACTTACCATTCTCTGCATCTTTGGAGGTGGTCTGCGTATAATGTAGGAGTAGTAATTGAGCATTGCGTACTCAATCATGGCAGCAAAGACGAACAGGAAACAGACGGTCACAAACAGATCCATGGCCGTTACGTAGGAGACTCTGGGTAGGGAGTTCCTGGCCACTGTGCTCAGGGTGGTCATTGTCAACACTGTGGTGATACCTGCAAAGGTAACAGAAAAAATACAGCTGTCAAGAAGAAGAATAGCACCTTCTAAAAGTGATTGCAACCCTTCACATTTTCTTTAGAATGTTACACAAGGTCAGTACATTTTTTTTGCCTTTTTAATAGCATTAAACGGTTTTCTCCTTGCTGTGTTCCATGAAGACAACCAATATTCTGACACACCAGAGATTTAAAACTACTGCATTTATACTCATTACATTACACACAGATTAAGCTGGATAGAGCAAAGTGGGCTCAATTCAAATGCATATCGCACTTTTAGATCTGATGTATTTTTCTTTTTTATGTTTTTATATTTCGTTCTACTTTGATTTTACTTCATACACAATCCTAATAAAATGGAGCAAGGTTTGTATGTAATGACTATGTAAATGTTAACCATTACTAATGTATATGGACAATTTTGGACAAATGTTTTGACAATTAAATTAATCTTGTCAGATCAGTTCTTGTTAATGTGAAACAGCTGATATTATTTTTTTTTTTGCTGCTTCATATTCACTACTGGAAAACCAGAATATACAAGACACTACAAAAAACTACAAGAGAAAAAAATAACTGCACTGAAAACAGCAGTGCCAAAAACAAAACCACATTCCCTGTTTTTTTATTTAAATTTTACCTATGGAAAAACTTATTGGGTGATATGTCATTATCCATTTACCTCAAATAAAGGACACCATATGGAGTCCCATTTCTGACAATTAGGTAAGGCAGACATGTTAAACTTCCAAATCAATCTGTAATAAATAAAAAAGTTGTGTAAAGTTGCCGTCTTTTGTTATTAATTTCAAGTTGATACACAATTCAGTGTTTAGCCATAATCTGCTAATTCTCTCCTGCACCTGCACATGTTCCCTGAGCCTCTAAGCGGTAAAGAGGAGACACAATCATGTGGAAGACTACAATGGACCGAAGTTCACTGTAGTCTTCGATCATCAGTATCCTTCATGAGGAGGCACGAATTAATATTTAAGCATATGAAAAGAACATTGAGAGGAAGGAAGAAATGTGGAAGGAAAGAGTTCACCAAAATCATTAAAAACTTAGGAGAACTTCACAAGGAATTAACTTGGGCATGGGTCAGGACATCTAGAACCACAACAAAAATGAATACCAGTCTATTTGCTACTAGTTGCATTCATCATTTTAAGTCACTCCTGAAACAGACACATCAGAATCACCTTACCTGGGCTAAGGCTAAAAGACCTAGATTGTTGCTCAATGTCCAAAATGCTGTTTTCTGATTAAAGGACATTCTGCATTTCATTTGGAAATTAAGTGGAGGATGTTCTTTTTCCGTGTGGATCATCAAAATATGTGGTCCTCCTAATTGACAATCATTCCGGTGAAATGTTTATGTGTTCGTCCCCATTTTCACTTACCCATGGTGAGTCTGACGGTGAAAAAATTGCAAATCTTTTTTTGGAAAGTAAGCTTGTATGAGCAATGCACACAGCAACTTTTAAACAGAGCGTGCATGAGGAGAAATGGGCTTGTGCACGCTCTCACACACGTTTAACAGACGTTCCCTCTCGGGAGCGGGTATAGGGTCGTGTATGTAGGGCTGGGTATTGTTCAAAATTTTTCGGTTCCGGTACCAATACCGATACCTTCACTTCGATACCGGTTCCTGAACGATACTTTTTTCGATACCAGTTTTATAATATCAATTCGAAAAAACATAAAAAGAAGTACAAATCTTGAGTTTTATTTTAAGCTCTGATTTTTCCATTTACATTTTTCCTCTTACATAAAAAAAAAATTCAGTGTCTAATATTCACTGTTACATTATGAGGACCTTTTTACTTAGCAGTTTTCCTTTAGAAAAATTACCATGTCTGACAAACAAGCCCGTTGAATGGGATCCTACTGACAGCGCACCGCTGGTATGTGGGGGTCTGAGCGGCTCCGACAGAAATATTGGAAGGCAGGATGAACTGACTGCACTGATTAAGTTTTCAGGTGGATTTTCCCACTTAAAAACATAATAAAACTACTTTATTCCCACTGATCACAGCAAATATAGCTGCAAGGCAAAAAAAGGATAGAGTAGCTCCGCCCAACGCGCGTCAGAGCCACTTTTGCACCGCGCAGCGAGAGCAGCAAAGCTTCTTCAGCCGCGCGTCAGAAGCTGGTACAAGCAGCAAAAAAGGAAGCAGCAGATGCGATTTTGCTGCTCTTGCTGCGTCCAGTTTGAGAGCAGCATGATTCACTCCGCTCTGGCTTTGCTCTGCCCACGGGCTGCTGAGAGGAGGATGGTGGCGCCGGCTGCGGTCCGCTCCTCTTGCAGTCAAACACCGAGCAACTTTCTGCTCTTAAATTGTTTCCGTGCACGATGTATTGCATTGCGCACTATTGGCATCAGCCTAAATAGCTGTAGGCGTGACCACCTGTGTATTTTTCCTGGATGACGCAATCACGTTAAGTGTTACAGCCAATCACCGACACTTGGTACCGAAAGACGAGGCATGTTTCGATACTCTGTAGATACTCGATACTCGGTCGGTACCATAAAAGAACCAAAGTTCGGTACCCAGCCCTACGTGTATGCGCATTTCTTTTTTTAAAGTGGAGACGGCTGGCCTTTTCCAAAATTTGTGAATATCCTCCACTATACCTTTAAGGTCCTAGAGTCATGATATAGACAGGAGAGGCACAGAATCCACATTGCTGGAAGTCCAGTGTTAGGTTTTCTCAGTCAGTGATGGTTTGATTTGCTTTTTAATCTGCTGGTTTTGGTCCAATGCATTCTGTAAAATCCAGTCAATGCACTGATCTATCAGGAATGTCTGCAGAATATCAGCCTTTCCTCTGCTGTATGGAGATGCTTAATTTTATTTCACTGCAGGACTTGACACCTGCCCACACAGACAAAGGTACCAAAACCTGTTCTAGTTACCATGGTGTCCCTGTTCCTGATTGGCCAGCAAACTCTCCTGGCAGCTATCAAAGTAATCTGGGCTTCCGTTACACCTTCACAGTATCACAGGCTTATGGCTTCTATTCCACAGAGGACTGATGAAGCAACAGGTACAAGAAACTCAAATAAGTATTGAATGCAAGGAAATTGACATATTTTCCAAAAGCCTACTGTTAAAACATCCTTTTCTGATTAGTCTAACTTTACAAAAAACTACATTTTTAGTTTTCTAAACCTGAAAGGCATTAAAACTGTAAAAAAAATTAAAGCTGTATTATTTTACTGTATAATTCATCTATTTAGAATAACAGTTTCTGGAATGAATGGAATAAATATTTTCACAACCTTATCTTTTGAGATTTATCTGTATTTGGCTCCAAGAATCTTTTTTACCCTATGATAATAAACCTGTGCAAGGCAAGACAACAGTTATTCTTGCCTCCATATACTGCTTCCAACATGTTAAAGAACTACAAAAATGTTTTTTTGGTCAAATATTACAATACATTCAAAATAAACTGTTTGATTGTAAAGGTTTTCACATTATCCTTTGCCATTATTTCCCAAAGATTTTAACTTTTCATTCAAAAACATAATATTTACACTAATAAATACTGAATACAGACTCTGATCACATCACTCCTCACAATGGAACCAAATCCTGAGATGACCTTGTTTCTGAGGAGTCTCAAATGGTGCCGACGAAGCGACCATGCTGATGCTCTATGCTTGCACAATTACCAGGTTAATCAACTCTGCAAGGTGTCAACCTCTAGCATGGAATTACATCAGAGTATTCTATTTGCCACCATTAAGTGAGTATTAGGTCACATTCTGGGTTTGATCAAAGACCATATACTAATACTTCCATCTGATAGGGTAGCGTGTTCTAAGGGTCAAAGCTTTTTAGTTTCTGAGCTACATCTAGTTGGTCTTTTTGTTCAATTTTATATAATAGCCAAATTCAAAAGATTGATTTTGCATTGAGCATCCAGCCTTTAACAACCGAGATTCCACTCAGCTACATGCTGTGAGGATTAAAGTTAGATGCCAGGATTCTCCTTTAATATAAGGTTTTAAAATTTCGCTGGCCATGATTTCATTTTTTTCTTTGAATGACAAATATTCAGATGTTCGGATTCTAGAAAAGACAAAAGTGGTACAATCCAATATGGTATCATCTGATGAAAAGAGGGAACGAATTATTCCGTATGCCAAAAAACTTAATAAATCTTAAAATGGATGGTATTTGTTTAATTGATAAGGCATTACAAGTGAAAAAGTAACTTTCTTTTAGAACAGACTAGACAAAGACTTCTTGGGGTTTTGCATATTTTGCTTCTTTAAAAATCCATGAAAACTTTGAAATGATTCAAAACCAACTGTAATCTGAATTATGGATTACTTGTATAATGCTTTAACTGCAAAAATTCCTAATCACAATTCTCGCTCCATCTCCAGAAGCAGTTGCGAAGGTGGCTTTGCCCACTACTAAAGAATATGGAGCTGTGGGCTTAATCTATTTTGTGTAAAGTTTACTCACTTTATATATAGAGTGTTCCATACTGTACACTAAGCCATCCTTTTCTTGAAAACTTGAATTGTTAACATTTTGACATAGTGTTAACCTTTTGAGCTACAGTGCTTCAATTTTCTCTGAGCTGAACATTTTAGCGTCACAGGTCTGCCACTAGATGTCACACTAACTAATACCAAGAACCTTTAAATGTTCTGATATGATCACATCAACATGTAATATTGAATAGTTTTATAACTTGCGTGTCTGTAATTGCTGGTCAGTGGTAACTAGTTTAATGAGAGAACCTGTGGTTGAAAATTACAGCGACATCAGTGGCATTGTTCGAATAATTAGTCTCCATGGTTTCTAAAGAGACCAGAATATCTACTTGGTGAAATGAAATCAATTGTTTCAAAGAGGGATAAAAGCAGTGACAGCCACGCTTGATGAGGGCATCGATATTTACTGCTGTGACACACTCATCAGTCTTGTAAGCTCACCATGTTTCCCTCCCTTCATTCTCTACCCGCCATG